GAGTACAGATTTGCCGAAGTCAATATCAGTATGAGCAGTTATAAGCATCGTTCACTTGTGGTGGCTGTATTTGCAAGACAGCACGCAATGCGCTCGTGTTCAGTCATCCTCTAATTTCGTTTAGGTATCGTTACTACTAAGCCAACGCCGCTGCTCAGTCATACAAAGCAGCGGTATTGAATGAGTATGAACAGTTGACGATCAACCAATGCCAATCCCTGCTTTACACATACGTATTATTGTTATTAGTATTAATATTATTGCGGCGGGGATACTCGCGCTGCGACCTAAGAAGATCTGTTGTGCTTAAGCCTATTTCTAATCACTCACACCTTAGGCTATTTAAAAAGTTATGCACTTTGGAGGGCACCATGTTTAAAATTTTGGATGAAGAAGACAATCGTTCCCCTAGGTGTATCAGTCTGCTATTCATGATACGTGGACAAACACATTAGAATATGCTCTAGGGCTTCCTCCACCAGCTCACAAAATGCTATGGACCATGCAAGTCCATTTGGGCTCCAGGCTTTGGAGACAGTCAGCCCTTTCGTTGCCTTCATGTCCCGGAACCCACCACAGTATTACGCTACTGTGGGCCTCCAAGTGGTTCAAAAGAGTTTTACAGCTATCCACAAGCCTGGTACCGTTTTAAAAGAGTCTAAGGCCTTTAACATGCCTGACTATCCGAGATTATATTTATTTTGGTCCCATTTGTCCTTCTACACAGACCTTGTAGGGTTTGTAGAAGGATAGCTCGGGATTATCCAGGAATGCCTTTTGGACCTCCAAATAATCCAGAAGGTCTCCAATTTTCTTGGTGATCATATTGGTCAGTCGTAGGGCGCTCCAGCAGGCCTCTTTCAAACAGAATAGACAAAGGAGGAATGCCTGTAATGACATAAAGGGCATCCGTTGGACAGGTGCCCATATCTCCTGTGATGGCCTCGCGGACCAGTCGGCGCAGCTTGCACAAGGTGGCACCCGCCTTTATTTTCTTAGCTTTTGACTATCAGGCCAGTGCCACATATATGACAACGGGTCTTACTAC